CTATTAACGTTTAAAACTGTATTCCTTTGCTTTTTACGAGATTGACTTGGTTAACTAGATTATCTTTCATGAAATTTCTCATGCTTTATAATTATTTGTAATTTTTTTAAGCATGCGAGAGATTCGAAGATTTTCTTTCGAATTTGCCTATCGTGCAAATTTTAGCAATGCTATCTTACAGTTCATTTGTGAGTTTTATTATGGCCCTTAGTTCGTTTTAACTATATCCTTGTCATTTATCATCCTTACTCTTTTCTCATTTACGGCTTTGCTACTGGAGCTGATTATGTGGCTGTGTGACTTAGATGCATCATACATAAGTACTTCTTACTGTTCTTCTTCAGCCATTTTAATTTATTTACCTTTTATTCTTGGTTCTTACTCACTTAATTATAAACCTTTTTGCTTCCATTTAAGGTAAGTGGGTACATGCTACAATTTAATGCTTTCTATGCACTTCTTTCGTGGGAATATGGACTTATACTCTTTTCATTTGATTGTATACAATGAATGAATAGTTACTACCACCGGGAATAAACGTTACCTTGTTATTTGGCCCAAACCCATCCAACCTTGCTTTAAATGAACCCTTTGTAACATCGTATATATATGTATGTATATATAAATATATATACACATATATTTCATTCCCGTAGTTTATCCGAGGCTCGTTCCCTCTTTACGTCTGAACTCTGGCGCCAGTGCGCTGAGCATGTGATCCTTGGAGGTGGCAACCCCAATGGCCCAGCAGCCGGGTCTCATTTGAATCTTATCCTTCGACCCGAGATGATCCGTCTCATGCCGCCTCTGCTCCCTTGCCCACAGGCTGCGGAAGCTACTTCTGCCTTTACAGCCCGTGCTAGTCCGGAAGATGAAACTAGTTCGAGCAAAGATGGCCACCTAGATGAGGAGCAAGCTCCAAGCTGGCCGCCTGACAGCCTATGGGATGAGGAACTTATTTGGCTTACTCCGAATGTAGTCATTCACGATTTTCATTGGGACGAAAGCATTGGATGTGCACACCCGTCGGCCGAAGTAAGCCTTTATTGAGAGTACATAGGATTTGAACTTCAAATTTCTTTCGATGAGCCAGGCTCATGCTACTCTGAATAGGTCGTATATCAATATGACATTGCATCTACTATGAAAGATTTTCATTAACTGAAGACTTTCGTCTATCAATCATGAAACTAAAAATTCATAATTTTTTAGGTTTATTAAGCATATATCCTTCATTCTAATTGAAACTATAAGAATTTTATGTTCCTTTAACCGTGAGTATCTTTACTATACGTGCCTTGTAGCTAGAAATTACAAAATTGTGTAGTCTTGACTATATTATATTTGGTGTATTTGATTTTCCCTTAACTTCACACACTGACTGAATTTACGCTACGAATTCGAAGGACGTGCCCTAAATGCACCTTTCCTTTGCATCCATTTATCAATATTAAGTTTTTGACCAGGTATATTTAAGTACATTGTTTTGCATTCTATTTCTTATAAATGTCATCTAGGAATTCATATATCTGATCTCTGATAGTTGCGATCACTATTTAGAAGATTTCCACTTTAAAAATCCATAAACTCACTTTCCGAATATTTATTCTGACGACAAAGTCAATCTAGTAAGGCAATTTTAGGGAAATTTCAATCTTAAGTCATGGAAGAATAATAGCTTGTAGCAACCTTTGTTATAGAATCTTTCAGTCATTATTTGCTAAAGCGACTGTCTTTATGGCATTAATTTTTATAAAGCTGCATAATTCTGCGTTTAGGTAAATGATATTTCTCCATATATGAGAATGTGGCAAGAACTATCCACTAGCTATCATTTGCTAACATATATTAGAATCTGTTGGTTCACTATTTCTTCCTGCTTTCGTTATTTTTCACCTACATTTAAGGAGCATAAGTATTATTCGGCTTGTGATTTCTTTTGTTTTGTGCCATTTCTTTATCCACTTTGCTCACTTTTCGTAGTGTGCGCAGTAAGTTCTTATTGCAATTTTATTATATTTTAATGTTTTTTTACCATTGTGACTCCTTTTTCATCCTATAAACATCCTACACTTATTTCTACTACCTCACCTCTTTCTCTTTCCTTTTCTCCCATAGTTGATTCAGTTAATTTCTCTTGCTATGACTTCTGTTCTCTCGCAAAGTCAGCAACAAACGGTCGTTCAAGCGATAAAAAACGACTCTACGCCAGTTCAAGAGCTTGGCATTACACCCGAAAATGTGAGTAGTACTGTATCCCTTTGTTACGTAACTCTTGTTTATTTTGCTTATCACAAACTGTACTCGTTCCTGTTTTTCTAAGGTATTTTTATGAACAATAATTGTAGCTTACAAACTAATAAGAGCAATTTATTAACCCATGGCACTACTATAAGTCAGATAGTTTGGGGAAAAGTTGGAAAGTACTTTTACAATACAAAGCCATGTTTTAGGAGTGGACCCCAACACGTATTCTGTGCATATATTCATGCTTTTAATCAACAATTGTCAAAAAACTTATATCGTCGTACCAAGTTTGATAGAATTAGAGATCCAATAATCCCTCTACTTTGCTTAGCAGCAGATCCTGATAGCGCCATAATTGCAAATAGACTAAAAGTGAGCTTTATATAAACTTGAAGAAGGAAAGAAATACAGAGATAGGGATTATCATGATGAGGCCCTTGTTTTCTTATTAAATTCCCATTTATGCAAGTAATTGCTTTATATTTTACAAGCATAACAGTAATTTATTCAGGAATGGTGGCTGCTTTTCGAATATTCTCATAGTAATTTTATCTTAGTGGACCTTCTATTTCTTGCTAAAAGTCAGGATGTAGGCGAAGCGAGATTTCTGCGCTATTGCGACTATCCGAGTTGATAGCCTTTAGCGCGCCCTCTAACTCATGAATCATTACAGAGCTTTAGTCTTACCTGCCATAACAAGCTTTTTCAACCTAAAACGACTTATAACAAAATTCACCGAATACTGACTTAAGAGTGCCCACTTCTTATAACCTAATTTTGATATCTTAATGAGGCATTTCTTGATCTGATTGTCTACTTACTGCAGCTTAGTGAAGATAATATGGATGCGAATGTTCTTTTTTATCTGTATAACTTCGTGCTTAATCCTGTATTTTCGGTTAGTGTTAGAATTGTTCTTAGGAATGCCGTGATCATGGTTCACTCAAGATTTTATCCGTATTCAGAATCTAAGCCTCCCTAATCTCCTTTACTAATCAAGACACAAAATATGTATGGGCTTTTATATGGAAGACATATGGATGCTGCTTCGTTCTTCACATATCTTATGATCATACTTAGTAATTTACGCTTTATATCATGAAACTAATGACACTTAAAGTTCTACCCTTAGCAGACGTAAATCACTGGGACTATAAAATGATAAAGCTACAGACAATTTTAGTTCGGAATTACTTTTCCATAATACTGGGATAGTATGTGGATAAAACAGCTATTTTGGGCATGGTAGGCAAAAGGACCGCTCTTCTAGGTTCCTAATTTTACTTTCTTGCTAGCTTTCCGCAAATATATGTGAACTATTAAGAAAGTTGATTATTGAAACAGACTAATCCTTGTTTTGTTATGTCTCCTTTTCTTCTGAACATTTCTTAAGATCGGGTCGTTACTAAAAGCTGAAATCGTATGTTAGAATCTGTGTAGGGGATACCCGCTGAACTAAATTTCATGCAAAGGCTTACGGACTCAGAAATCTGACCTTTCTCAATGCATTGCTAATACAGGATACCGATTAGAGTCGTTTAAAATCCAAAATTTTGTATGGTTTGATGATTAATTAGTTGATAAGGTTAGGACACCATTAGAAATTAACAAAATTACCATCTTTAATAGGATTAAATTGAACAACATTTTCTCTGATTGTTAACTAGAATTAAGTAGAAGAAGTAGTACGTAGCACCGTGTAGACGGAGGCTTGATCAGCCTTGAGTCTATGTACTGCTCTAAAATCGGAATCGACTGATGAACAACCATTCTGCAATTACAAATTAGAGCATGCTTTAGCATAGCAGGATTAAAGTCTAGTTTATATATGTGAGAAAACAGCCTTCAGGCCTCATCTACATTCACTTATCGCACAAATGCACACATCTACAGTCATGTATGGAAGTAGCGAGCTTGAATTAGCCAGCTAGATCCTGAGATAAGGATATAAGAAGCTGGTAGAGTTGCCACAGGATGATTTCCTCCCCAAATTATTTTTTTTCCAGGACAGGTCAAGGCCCAGCATTTACTCATAATGACCATAGTCCTAACTGTCCTACCTGCGAGTAAATCTTCCTTCGAAGTGGTT